GGAAGACTTTCAGAATTTTCTCATTTTCAAGCCAGGAGAGTAGATGGCATTGGTGTTAGAAAGCGATGGCCCTTGGTTTCTTGTTATTTTTACATTTCTTATTCTCAGGGAGGGGGTGTCCCCACAGAAGGCTGTAGGAGTTGAATTTGGCTTTGATCCCTGTGGTAGGCCCCAGAGTAGGCAGGTCTCAGTATATCCTCTGGCCTTTAGCAAGGACCCACCTGCAATCACAGGTACCCCTGGAGGGCCAAGGAAAGTTGGACTGGGGCTCAGCTGAAGCTGCCCTTGCCGCCCCGCTACACTCTTTGAGCCCCCACTGCCTGTCTGCTCACCATGTGCTCTGCAGGCCTACCCTGCTGGCCTCGCTGGTTTGTGCCCGGAAAGCAGGGGAATGGGGGAGGGGGGTGGGGGGAGTCAAGCCACACAGAGGGTCCCTCCAAGCCCCCCCGGCATGCCAGAGGGCTGACCACACACAGGTGGCGGCTGAACTGTAAGCATGAAGCTTGTAGGCCAAAGGAGTCTGGATCAGGAAATGTCTTTATGACATTTAAGTGGATTAAAGTCTATTTTCATTCAAAGCCCTGCTGAGAGAACTCCGCTGCACCCCCATTTACCACTCTGCCCTTCTCATTGATGGGTCGCTCCAGCTGTGAAAAGTCGTCTCACCTGTGGCAGTGATAAGATCCTGTCTTTGGACAAACATTTCCATGCGCGCGCCATTTTTCCATGAACCGCCTGAAGCCCCCTCCTAGACCATTTTTTGGACTGAAGTCTAACATCAGAGTAAGCTGGGCACTGTGTAGAAGAAGCGCTAAGCGCAGCTCCTAACCAATTTACAATTCTGCGGCCTGTTCGGGGGACCATCAGGGAAGGCTATCCTGAGGCTGCTTTTATTCCTAGGGCTTATATTTTAATTTCTTTTATTAGCTACCGTGTTCCTGCCAGATTTGGTGAGCTGACACAGCCCAGGCTCATCCCCTGAGGCACTGCTGCTGCTCCAGGGTGGGGTGCTAGGAGGGCTGTGGGCCGTCCCCCACCCACCCCAGAACACCGCCCGCCCGGTTCTGAGGAGGGAAATGAAGCTGACCAGCAAACCTAATCATCATGATAGTTCAGTGTCAAGTGGCAGCTCCCCAAAGAGGCCTTTCCTGATGCCTCTTTCCTCATTTGCAGGGTCTCGTCTCAGCTGCCTCATCTGAAGCCAGGTATTCAATCATGTGTGTGCTTGGGTCACCTGCCTGGCCAGTGGAATCTAAATGCCAGCTGCAGGAGCTGCACCACCATGTCCCTGCTGGTTCCCACATCCTGGACAGAGGCCCACACAAGCAGACACTTGACAACTACTTGGTTTTCAGGGGTTCCATCCTGGCTCATTTAAACAGCTCCCTGCAGCCTGACTGGCTAGCACCCTTGGTGTTTGCCTCGAAAGTTCTAAAGTGTGCTCTTTGAAAAAGGCCCCAGACCTTGTCCACATCTCTTGCAGGTCAGCTCCACACACTTCTCTGCCACCCAAAGTCCCAGAGACCAGCAACCTGTCTGCCCCGCTGTCAGTTTTGATAAACATTTTCTGTCGAGCCTTAGGCCCAAACATCTCAAATCAAGCACTGACCTAGCTGGTCTAGGACAGAGAGTGCTTCCTTCAGAGGGCCATGATACGTTCTCAATTCTGTCACCAGAGTAAGACTTTGTTTCCTCTGTAAATATTTAGCCGGAACCTAATATATTAATGTCCTCCCACATGTTGCAGAGAGGCGGCGAACTGCAGAGCCTCCGCTTGTCTCAGGACAGCCCCTGCTCAACAAGACACAGCAGCCTTGCATGCACCTCTTCCACCTGTCATGGCTGCCACGCTAAAGGTCCTGGCTGGGCCCTTCACAGTGCCAGCGATGAGCTGGAACTCGGCCCTTTTGCAAATGCTCTGCTTGGATGATGCTGGCCGGTCAGCACATGCCTGGCTACAAAAATGGGCTGGTGTCTGTCTCCTTCCTCCGAGTCCCCTTGATTTCTGCCTGGGGTGGGAATGCACAGCCCAGGCGTGCACAGAGGAGCCAGGGCAGGTGGGTCACCCAATACATTTTCCGGCCCCCTCGGCAGAGTTGGCAGGTCCCATGGCCTCCTTGGACCTTGTCCACTTCTCTTTCTCAGGCCAGCTCCACACACTCCTAACTGCTCACTCTCACTCCGCCCTCTTCCTACTCCTGTGGCCTCCTCTTCGGCCTTCCCTTCCGGCCCCTGCTCTTTGCACCCTCCGCCTCTCCTAGAAGTTTCTTCTGACCAGCTCCTACCCTAAGTATCCTTCCACAAAGCTTCTGTAGGCAAAGCTGATTCCTCGTGGCTTTGGCATCGCTGGTGGGCTGTGGCTGGGGTGGTGGGGGGCACTTTACAAGGTAGGGTGGGCCCACTTCCCACCTTATCTGGGCTGTAGCTCGACTTTATAGTTCGCAACTAGCAGGCTCTTAAAGATTCTATTTATTCTTGAGTCTGCCTTGTTTCTATTTTGATTCTGTAATCCAAATTGCAGTTTGGTGTTTCCACGGAAACAATCTGGTGATTGTTTGGCTTGCCAAGATGAACTGCGGGGGAGAACCAAATGACGTAAAACATTTATAAAGTTTCTCCGACACGGCCAAGGCCAACTCTCATCTCCCGGAGAAGCATTTGGCCCAGCTGGTTGCAAACCTGCGGACAGATTCCTGCTCCCCTGCCAGCTCACATGGAAAACAGGAGGGAAGGCCTCCCTGGGGCGCCACAGGAAGCCAGGCCTATGAAGACAGGAGCCGACTGCCCAGGGAATTGAAGCCCCCCCACCCCCACCCGCCTGCCTCTCTAAACCTCACGTGCCTGAGCTCAGGCCTCAGCTGTTGGATTGCTTTACAAAGCAGCTGTTTCCATGGAGAGAGGATGGTCCTCATTCAAGAATTCCAGGGTGAATTAAATCTGAATTGTCACAGAAACCCTTTGCTAAAAGGAGGAAAACTTGCCTGTCCTGACAGAGAGCCTGACCTTGTCCTTCACTCCCCACCTGTGCCCAGTCTTCTTCCCACCGTCCTCCCCACCCGCCCTGCAGAAGCAATGGTCCCATCTCAGCCTTTCCTCCTGGCTCGGGGATGATGCCCCAACACACTCACTCCCTTTACAAAGCCCCTCCTGGGGAGGGGCCTGTCTCTGGGAGAGGCTGAGATCCTGAGAAACAGCTCTGTGAGGCCTAAAGCCCCAGCGCCTTCAGGGAAGCACTGCCCCCTGCCGGGTCTTGCTGAGCACTACCCTTGGGGAGCCTGAGCTGCCGCAGGTGTGGGCAGGTGCCTGGTCCCAATAGCAATAGCCATAGCTGGTTAGGAAAGATGAGGTTTCAGAAACAAAAGCAGCGCCCCCAGCACCTTTACATTCCTTTTACAGAAAGGACCGTGTCTGCTGCAGATAGAAAATACAAGGGGGGAAAAGGGCCATAGCCCCCATATTCCTATACCTTCCCACACGTGTTCATACACATAAATGTCCACGTTTTCTTCCTTATTAGTACATTGTTAATTTTAGATGACAGAAGAGTTGGACATAGTTTTTATACATCCTTCCGAACAGGATAACATTCTCCTGTTATCGTCCATGACTGTGGTGCACCTGTCCAAGCTAAGGAACCAGCACTGGTACGTTTCTATTAACTGCACTCCAGACTTTATTTGGATTCTACCAGTTTTCCCTTTAATGTCCTCCTCC